GTGTTTGCGCACAGGGAAGGCGGCGTCTGTCGGTCCAGAGGGTTGCTGTTCTGGAGAAGGGACGACAGCGAAGACTTCAAGCACCGACTTGCAGGCCTGAAAAACAAGATGCCTTGCTATTGCTCCTCTGCAGCTGAGATGATGGTGTGCTTGATGCGACAGAGATAAGCAGCTGGACAGCAAGCTTACAAACAAGATGCCTGTCATTCCTTGGAAGACTAACACTGGTCTCCTTAGAGTTCTCCTGGTTTGACCTAGACACCTGAGGCTTTACTCACACCAGCTGTGGAGGATGATTTTCAATGGAAATCAATGCCATAAAAAATACCCAGATGTAACATTTAAGAATATATATGGTCGACTGCATAAAATTAAATCATATGGTAGTAGTGTGCTTTGAGTATGGATAAAGTAATCAACCAACTAAAATTTCACGATGGAAGATGACTAGCAGTAGGGACAAGTATGACATAATACACGAGTGTCCTGGTTTTGGCTGGGATAGATTTGCTTTTCCTCCCAGTAGCTGCTGGGTTTTGGATTTGGTATGAGAAGAATATTGATAATACACTGATGTTTTCAGCTGTTGCTAAGAAATCAAGGACTTTTTCCAGTCTCCCACATTCAGCCGACGAGCAGGTGTGCAGGAGCTGGGAGGGAGCACAGCCAGGCAGACAGCCAAGCTGGCTCGTGGAAATATTCCATACCATAGACGTCATGCTCAGTTTGCGAATGGGGGTTTGCCGGGGGGCAGGAATCCTCTTTTTCCCAAGAGTTCAAATTTTTTCACTAAATCCGTGAAATCTGCGCGTTCCGCAATCGCTGCTCAGGGACTGGCTACGCAATTGGTTGTTGGGCAGTGAGAAAAATTGTATTGTGTATTGCTTGTTTTGCATATTCTGTTATTAGTTATGACTTGCTTTGTTGTCTTATTAAACTGTCTTTATCCCAACCCACGAGTTTAAGTTTTTTCCATACCCCTGCCCATCCCGCTGAGGGGGGAGGAGTGCGCGAGCGGCTGCGTGGTCCTATTTGCCAGCTGCCAGGTTAAACCGTGATGAGAAACTCATCTAATTTCTGTCAGTGGAAAGCATGACTCATAGCCTTTGGAGCTGGGCTGGGGAGTGACTGGATCCCACAATGTAAAACAGTGTTCCGTTGCTACACTTTCTAGTTTCTCTACTGCCTGCACATGGACACCTTAGTAAAAATCTTGCCCTGAATGGAGGCTGTGGTTAAAAGTAATGGAGTAACTGAGGTGCTGGTTAGGGCGAGAGGCAGATTAGGGCAGTTGGTACCTGCCAGAGGGTTATCGCTCCTCTACAGCCTGAAGTAGCCAAGAGAGAGTCAGCGTTTTGGCCTAACACCTGCATACATGATGATCAAGTTCTGGGGTGCTGTACTGGCAGAGATCTTTTTCTCAGGTGATCAGTCACAAAAGGAAAAGGCTGTTACCCATAGGCACTCTCTCAGACCTCCTGCATCATAAGTTTGTGCCTATGGATATGTGTACTATAGATATACATGAATATACAGCCTGTGAAGAATAATACATGTATGAGCTATAATATAGTACCTGAGAAAATACATACAGACCTGTTTTTATTTACACGGGTTTATAGCACAAAACATGTGTAACATACTGTATAAATGTAAGCAAAGACCACAGTCTCTCTCCTGAGGCGTTTGCAGTCCTCAAAATACCCCAAGAAACTGGCCAAAGGCAAAAGAAAGGAATATGGAGTCAAGCAAAGTGATCAGCCTGGCAGCCACACAGGCTTTTTAAAATCAGAACTGAATATATATTTATATTGTATACAAATTAAATCATGGTAAAATACACGTATGCTTATGTGTATATCTATAAAATCAGATGTTCAAACGTTGCCCTGGTGAGGTTAGTTTTGCTTTCTGTCAGTATGCGTTGTGGAACAAGCTTTACAAGAATGCATGGTGCTCTTCCTGAACAAAGCCTCACTCAAAAGGAAGTAGAGAGCAAGAGGAATATCCTAGCATATACATCTGCAGCATTACTGACTTGGGGAACCTTAAGAATAAATTGCCAAATGTCATTTTAGACCGTGACACTGTATAGGTTGTAAATTCATGTCTTCCAAGCATTCCTTAGAGAAAGGATTTTTTTTTTTTTCATTTGAAATATGTTTGTCATTCTCTAGAAATACTCTTTTTCACATTCTCACCGCTGTAGGCTTCACAGCACAGTGATGACTTACGCTGGGCATTATGGAATGGACTTTGCCTCAGAGAACGCAGTGCCTGTGGTCCATTGCTGTTCGTACAGCTATGGTTGAAATCCATGCCACTTCTTTCCACTGCTGGTTTTAACTGCTGTAACTAGGTTAAGATTAGCACAAAAAAACCCCTATTATTCTTGTACTCGCACCTTCACTCAGTGTGGGTATGAAACTGTTCTTGTGCAGATGGACTTTTAGGGAGTTACTCAGGGAGATGAAGGTCCTTGAGAACAGGAAGGAGGTACGAAGATGACTATTTGCCTGAAATGAATTTCCTAGATCTCTGAGTAGGCTGAAGTTTTGAGGTTTGGCTAACAACCTTTAGGCACTGGAAGGCTGCAGGCCGTTACTGGAAAACGTTAACACTTCTTCAGAAAAGTTACTTTGTGAATTCCAGTTACCTACCTCTGCTCTACAGAAACTGCTTTTCAAAAATCCCTTTGAGGAGAAAAATCTCCACATATCCTTCCACGTAATGGGAGTTAGATCTGCTAAAATCAGTTTAGTATAGTATTTTTTACTATAATTGGATGTTCTGTCAGAGACCCGCTACGTGACACATGATAAGCTTTCTCAACTTCAGTGGAAGACTTTTTATCAGTCTCGGCAGACTGTGACTCAGGCCCTACCTATACTTTGAATCATGTCCCGTAACATTGAGAATTAGAAAGACGTGCCAGCAAACGTTGGTACACAACAGCAGAGAGTCATGAATAGAACTAAAGTGATTTATTAAAAGTCAGTTATTGAACGATGACACAGAGAGTCTCAAATGAGTATAAACAGTATGGGCACAATGTTGGTTACACACAAGGGTACGCTGGTTTAAAACTGGAAGCCTGTTTTGATTGTTTGTATCTCAGATGCAAAGTTTTGATTACCACAGAGGGAGCAGGTAGAATGAAAACATGAGGTATTTCGTCCTGAAACTCAACCCACTTCATTATTTTCTATTCTTCTCTGCACTGCAGTTTGTACCAGCTTTGAAACAGGTAGAGCTGTTGCTAGGTAATCTTTTTTACCCACTTGGTAGCTGAACTTTCAGCCACGCAGAAAAGAGGTTTTATATACCTAATGACATAAAATTAAATCTAAGGCATTGTTTAATGACTGTTTCCAGTGCAACCCTGCTTCTAGCTATGGGCCTCTTTCCTGGGAGCAACCCAACTACCAGCCCAAGCAATGCGCTTCTGCAGGCTGTAGGTCAACACGATTTGGGTGGCAGTGGCTGCACCACCTCCCCCCCCCGCCCCGAGCACCTTCCTTATCTCAGCTGTGAGCACAGTGGGCTCGCGCAGCCGTTATTCTCCGTGTTGGTTCCTCCCCAAGGCAGGGGACGGATGTGGCCAAAGAGCAAACAAGCCTCCCCCTCCCTCCTGGCTGGGCTCAGCTGGGTCGAGCTCCTCGCTCGGTTCATTTTGTGGCTGCGCCAGCAGCACGGATAAACTCAGGGGGAAATGCAGCCGGTGGTCAGGAACAAGTGGGCAGCGCTGGGCCAGGAAAGGGGCTCTTCAGGCAGCCTCAACACAGCTGGCATCGTCGCCAAGTATCCAAACATGGTCTCAGCTTCTCTCAGATTTGTGATCTACCAAGGAGCTGAAGGAAATCTGGGTCAGTTTAACATGTGAAGCTGACCTAATCAAAGCACACAACTGACAGTATTAATCCAGATCTTGAAACAAACATTCCACTCATACTTTAATAGAAACACCGTGTGAGAATTTTATTGCTGTATCTTTTAAGATTTCCAATGTGGAAAAGACCAAGTTCAACCCAGGACAGCTCTCGGATAACCACAGTGAGCAAACTATGGTTACATCCACCGTTGTTCCTGATCTGGCTGTGTTCTTCTCCATCTGTTACTGACATCCACTGTCACCATAAGAAGTTTTTTTCACCTTTGGGTGGCAAAACCACACGTACAAAAATTGGCGATTGCTTGCTCTTTTTAATGGGGTGTGCGCTAGAAAGGATGGTTCAATTACATTAATGATCTGTTTAATGTTAAATATTATTTCCTTCTACATGAACCATGATATCCAAAAGCATGATAAATAAATGTGCATCCGGTTTTGACAGTATTAATCACCTCAGAGATAAAGCAATTTCTGTCACTGAAGGAGACAGTGGCTGCAGTGAGTACTTGTCAGCCCCGTGGACCCACCCTGGCAGGTCTACGGCAATACAGGCAATCTAACACCTCACCTACTTCTCTTTTCTTCTTACTGCTAGAGAAGCAACCTGAAGCCATGCTTGCAGATCTCCCTGTGGGATCTCCGATCCTTTTCTGCGCTAGGGGCATGCTGCTTCTGCAGCGACTCACAAAACTGCTATTCTTCTGCACTAAGAATTCACTTTCAACGCTACCTGGTACCGAGTAGGTTTCCAAAATACAAGCAGCATTTCAGCCTACCAGCACACCAGCTGTGCCAACATGATGTATGCGCAAAGTATATCTGTTGATTTACATTGTTAGAGGTAGTTTCAAAGAGCAGTGCTAACTGGAAAAATGATCTACTGACCAAGGACTGCTGGGAATGCAAAAAAGGGCTCCCCTGTGGCATTCCCCAAGGGAACTAAGAAGAAATAGAAAGGCATCAGAATGAAAAATCCTAATAAATAAAATGGTGTAATAGAGATACCTTTTGATAGGACTCCCCCGTGTCTGCACCATCCAGCTGCCTTTTTACAGCAGTAGCACACAACGTCAGAGGCAGGGTATCGAGCAGGCAGCAGTGACAAGCCATGCCGCTGAAGGTACGTTGTGTAACGAGGAGCTGAGTGCCTATGTCCAACCCAGGAAACTTTTGTTTCCAAAGTATTATGCAAATAGCTATCATCAAGATCTTTAAATCAAGGTCTCACTTACAGATTTGTAGAGAAACAAATGAAGTTTTGTCCCAGTCTTTGTTTTGTCTGTTAGTGAAACTGAACTATTTCTGAGACAAAGTATTCATCCCTATCTCAAATCAAAGCTTATAAATAATCAAGGACAAAGACAAAGTGCATTTGATTCCACAGCCATAAATGCTGCTGAATGAATGCTGCAACCAAAAATGTCTACAGTGCTACGTAAATTCCAGTAGTCACCAAGTTACACAATTTTTCTGGTTTATATTAACACATATGGGAAACATGTTCCGTGACTCCTACTTTACTGAATGTCCAAATCAGTTACCTCTCTTACTCATGGTTCATTTAAAGCATAAGAAACAGACCGTGGCGGTTGGTTGGACTGAAGTCTTTGCAATCATTGCTGATAGGTATTTTAATAAAAAGATTGTACGTAATTATTAAGAACTGCATAGCTGAGCATTATTAAAACTTGAATTTTAACAACTGTTAACTTTTTACAGCTATTCAACTCAGTACAGCCCAATACTCATTTTTGTTTTAAAACAGACATTTTAACACTTATGTAGAATTAGTCCTTTGGCTGTGACTTGCATTTGTCCACTGACTGTGCAGCACTGACAGTTAGGGAAGAATAATCTTGTTAAAAAGGAATATATTTGCCATACTAAAGTATGTACATGTGAATCTTGGTGAACAAATGGGAGGAACTGGCTTGGCATCACCTGAACTCCAAATACTCAAGCTCATCCTTCTTTACCACTGTTCCTTCCCAAAGTTTGTTGCAAGTAATAAATATAACACATCCTATAAAGTTTTGTAACGTCCACATAAATACATAGAGCTCCTTGTGAAGTCAGCGAGAGCCCTGTGTGTGTATGTGCCAAAAGGAAGGCAGGGAGACCAGAATTCTGTTTAGCAGTCGCCTTACTCCAGTTATTTGCTTCATCTTTCTATGATTAAAAGGAAAAACAACATAGTTTGCTTTGGGGACTTGCATGTGTTTTATAAACATTGCATCACCTCACCATGTCACATGGTATTTGATAGTCTGTAATGCCGCCCTCGAGAGCCTGTGTAAACAGCAGCTGATTGATTTTCCCATCTCTTAAGAGCTACATCACAGCACACACGATTATACCAGTATTCTTTCACAAGTAGTTTGTTCAGTTTTATTTGCATTTGTTGGCGTATTTTTAAAATAGATCAGAACCAAATAGTAAGACCTAGTTCTCTCCTGTTACAGGTGTTTTTCTGTCATGCCTTCTGTTTCCTGTAATAAGTAGAAATCCACTGTCTTTGTAGTTTCTGACTTGCCTACTCCCAAGGGTTGATTTACAAACAAGACAGCTGATGGTGGGTATTCTGAATACAAGGAGCATTGCAGAAGACAGCAGCAAGGAAGTCATAGCAAAAGAAAGCGTAAGGTTAATTTAGTGAGACACTTCAAATGATAAAGGAATGGGTGACATCAAAAGAGACCAGGTCAGGCTGGCAGCAGAAGCTAGCCTCGGCCAGGGCTTGCAGACGACCATGCTGAATTTGAGGCAGAACAGGAGTGAAAAGCAAAGGCAGCTGAAAGCGACGTAACTGAGCTAAAGAAGGTTGGTGCCTTGGTAGTACGATAACCCCACTGATGTCATAAGTCATGCAACTGAAGACAGAAGATAAGTGGGATCAAATAAGAACGCTGAGAACTAATGAGAGGTCCTGAACAAGCTTTTGCCAGGGGAAAGGCGGCACAGCTGGTGGCTGTAGAAAATGGAGGGGGGGAAACTGTTACAACTGCCCAGTTGCTCTGATTAGACAACAGAAAGCTGATGACATCAGAGCTGGAGAGGTGAAAGCCTTGTAGTTGCACATCTGTTTCTTCAAAGAGGGAAACAAAACGGAGCTAGATCCATATCACCAACTATAAATGGCATGCGGGAAGAGTTTTGGAAAATGGAAAATCCCAGTCTTGCTCAGCAGTGAGAAACTCCCCTCTCCTTCCAGCTGAGGGCACGTCACTGGAAAGTCCCAGCCCGAAAAAAAAATCCACCGAGTAAACAAATTGCGTAGGCAGCGAAAACAGAAAGAGGAACAAAGTCAAATGATACTTCGACTTTAAAGGAGTTTATTTTCAGGTTAGCATTTCCTTGAATGGCAACAGTTCAAGTTCAGACAAGAAAAATCTCGTTACAGTGCAAATGGCTGGTAAACGTCACTGCTGGTACGAGGCCAAGGAAAGCAAGCTCATTTATGAAAAAGCTAAGGTTTCAGCTTGGGATTTTGGGGATTCTCTGCTACTGAGTGTAGTCAAATGATCCCAGTGACAAACCAGATACCCAGGATTACTACACCGCTGTACAATTAGAAATGATTGCCTGGCCAGTTTGTGGAATTTTTTCCCCCTTCATTTACATGTACTTCCAGACAACGAAGCTGCCCTTAACAAAGCGCTTCCTAATAACTCACTGGGCACGGCTGTTTGTTTTACACTGCAAGTTCAATGCTGGGAATTTTTCCAGCATTGTCCATCAAGAAAAACAAGGAAAAACCATGGTTCGTCACACTGAGACCAGAAACACAGTGTCAGAGAGAATTCTAGGATTCTTCCCTCTCTAACTAGCATTCACGTAAATACAAATACTGACATAAGTTATTACCCTTCTCTGCAATAAATCAACTTTCAACACAGATACTTCACAGTAATTAATCACAGCAACATTAACTCAAATTCTGCAACCAATTACAGTGACAGTGCTTTCTAGCTGTAATCTAGGAAAATAATCAAGTTAGTTGTAACTCTGCTTTTCTGTTCTCCCAGTTAATGAATGTTGCCGCATCCTGACCAACTACATCGCCGTTGAACCCTGCTAGCAAACAACAGATGCCAGTTTTGGAAGTGTTGCATGGACTACCCCATCTCCAACCCTATCTGTATTGTAAATAAAATGTAGTACTGCATTTTCTTTAAACTCAGGTTCTCTTAAGACTCATCAGGATTCAACACTACTGCGAGAGCCATCTCAAGCATGTTATCCTTGATAGCCAATAACTATCGTTATTTATGAAACTGCCAACCTATTCACATCCTCTCCGATTTGGGAGGAGGATCAATTAGCAGTCTTTGAAGGGGCAGATGTATGGGGTTTTTCAGTTTGGGGTTGTTTTTGCATTGCTTCTAATATGTACAAGTAGTAGGAAGGAAATAGAACTTCAGAGAAGTTTGAAATTTTGATTCTTTACCATTTTTCCTGTCGCCAGATACGGTACTATTGTTATAACGGGGGGCAGGAGGATCTTCATTTCTAAGGTGGAAGCTCAGGGCCCAAGCCCACTGATCACATCTCTACTTCTGGAGCTTTGGACAGCAGACAGTAACGATGACAAAAGCTTCCCCCGGGCACCAAGCTGGAGCAGCAGCTGTGAAACCCAGCCGAGTTTCAGTTCCTGCATCCGATGCAGTAACTGTGTTAGGCTTTCTAAACGAAAAATGTCATGAATCTCTCTCTTCCGAAAACAGAAGTGGAGACAACGTTCACACAAAATGTACTAACTGGACCGTTCGTAATTTTTATAGGAATGTCCTCTTCTCAAAGCAATTTCCTGGCAATAAAAGCTGGCTGTGACAGCAACATAAGCACGCTCTGCTGACCTTTTAAAGGTTTTTTTTCAGGTGTACACACCGGTGCTGATCAGGACAAGGTAGCGCAGCATCCGACAGCTAGAACTTGTCTTCTGTTGGATGACACCTGTTGCAAGAGGCCTCTATCTTACACACTTTTCAGTTTCAGCTGACACAATTTGCTACAAGAGCTCATCTACTAACTCCTCCGGAAAGCTGCTGCTAATTTTTAAGTTTTAAAATTAAGGGTTTTGTCTTCTGGTAGTGCAGTCATCCTATTTGAAACCATATCAAAACAGTTGCAGCTTGGGTGACTGGGGTTTTTTTCAGCTGTAATAAGGTTTTATCTGGTAAAGCTCCTTTAAACAGCATGGATATGGAATCAGTTCAGAGTTCAGGGAATACAAAACCTCACAAAGGAGGGAAGAAAAAGCCCTGAATGAAGAACCAACCACACCTTCATCAGAAAAAGGATTTCCATAGTCAAATCTGACGCTTGCCCTGAAGAAAAAAAAAAAAAAAATCAAACTAACCTAATTCCTAACAGAGTCACTGACGGTTATCAGAGCAAGTCATTCTTGGCGCAGAGCTAACTCTGTACCTGGCTTTGCTTAGTGCTCTGCACACCATTTTGTTTTGTTAGTTTTCTCTTTGACCTTGCCCATCCTGTTACAATGAAAGTTCACTTGGCAGCTGAGGAGGAAAGGAAAACAAAACCCATTGCAAAGCTGAGTGACTAAGCAGGAACATATATGCAAACCCATTTGCAGGTTTTCGAAAATCCAAACATGGTTTTACTTTGCTCACTGACCGGTTAAGCAAAAAAAAGGCTAAAGGAACCTGAAAGCTTTCACGCTCAACACCCAAAAGCTGGAAAGTGCCAGAATTAACACAGAATATGCACAAGAAAGCCTGGACTGGGATCAAAAAGGCAGTACAGGCGTCTGGCTGCAGAAGGAACGGGTTCACTGGTGGCTACGGAGCTGCACATAGCTCACAAGCGCTTCACGTGGGACTTCAAGAGCAGGGCCGGGACCAGAGCCGCGCTGACACAGACGCTGGCAAGGGTCACCATTCCTGCAGCAGTGGAGGCCACTGTGGACCGGGGGGCTGGAAATCGTGGCAGCTATGCAATAACACATCGATATGGACCATGGTGGCACAGAACAGGCTCCTATCATTTGGGCCACGCCTGCCCCAGGGACAGCAAACGTACAAGGCAGACGCCTGGGAACAGGATCCACTTCACCAAGCTCAGTGACGTCTGCCCTGCAAACAAGCTGAAGCTTTCAGACGGATATTAAAAAACAAACCCCGTGTAATAACCGCTTCCTTCATGCTTGTCATTCACTGGTGATCCCATTTTCATCACATGAAAGACATCACTGTCAGAAATTACTGCCCGAGGACCTAGACTGAAACCGGCCCTGCAATCACTTTAATGGGTCTCTCTCTGTGCAACTGCAGGAGCAGAGTTTAAATTAGCTTTCAAATTATTTTACCAAATAAGAAAAGCAATAATTAAGAAGTGAAACACTTCAACAACAACTAATCACTAACAAAAACATAAAAGTAATCATTTTATTCTACAGACTTGACAATTTTAGCAGGGAATTAGCATTGAACATAGGTGACTGCAAAGGAAATGCTGTCAAAACCCAGCAGCGTACTGAAACACGTATGCTTTCAAGGCTTCACCTCAGCCTGTACGAACAAAGCGCAGCTGTACATATGTGGCTGTGCAAGTCAGCTTGCAGGACTTTCCTGCACATTTCAACAATACTCACAAGTTACACAGGATCAAACTTTGGTTTTCACTCTTGACATATACAAAACATACTTAGCAAAACTACTGCACCTCCATGATAGACAAGTTCAAACTTTCCCAAGATTAACACCCCAAAACTACTCAAGAGTACAGCTGCTGCCGTGGTGTTATGAAATCCTTAGTGTCTTCGGGGCCCGTGAGCAGGGGCAGTTAAGTTCTCCTTTTTCGCTCTGCTAACCTCTGCCAGACCTCTGGTCCCTTTCTGGAGCCACAGCTGTTCCCCAGAAGACAGTACCATGAGAGCTGTGACCACAAAGAGCACGGCCTTGCCACAGCCCATTTCCAGCCTTCTCCCATTGCTAGGGCTGGAAGGCCACACAAGAAATATATCCCTACGCTGAGGGAAAGACATGGCCTTGTTGAGAAGCCCAAAATAGGCCAGAGGCAGGTATTACGCAAACAAGGGTGGCATAGAACCAAATTATTTTGTTAAAATTCAGTATTGTCTACATGCAGAAGCACAGTACATCACAACATCTGCCCCACACTCAGGTGTTTTTAATGAGATTATGGTGGGGTAGCAGCTGCATCCATCACAAACCTGTCTGCTCTTCTACCAAAAGTTACAGGACTTCTGTAGTATTTCTGGCTACCTTTGCTCCATGGTTTTTAGGAGCCACTGGTCACCAAAAGCACCATTACACACACATAAGATCACAGTGATCATTTCTCTGCTGAAATCTTGTTACAAGGACATTTGTGACCTAAATGGATTGCCAAGAGCATCATCTAAGAGGCTAGTTGCATAGGAACCATAGCGAGCAGAGAATTCGGCTACTCTCAGGTCTCAGAGGAAATACTTACTGATACAGCAAAATCACTTCTGCATACAGTGATGCATATACAAAAGCTTCAAGTTTTACAAATAAATTATCCCAAAGTACCCACTTTATGTCAGTCACACACCCATGTAATGTCATCGTACGTTCATGTTACCCGTCTAATTAAATAGGTATTTTCCAAATTGAAAAAAAATCCAAACCAGAATTACAGGATCATTTCACAGTGATGCCATTCACAACTTCTACACTGTGAAGACAACTGTAGAGCCTAACAGGGGCAAAGCATGTTTTATCTGCGGGCTTTTATTCAGAACTTTGCATATATAGATTTGTTCTTACCACAGAATCACAGAATGTTCAGGGTTGGAAGGGACCTCTGTGGGTCATCTAGTCCAACCCCCTGCCGAAGCAGGGTCGCCTAGAGCAGGCAATCTGATCTGAATTATATTCTATGGATTTTATATATTCTTCTCAGAAAGCAAGTGTCTTTGCTATATATATTAAATTTCCTCGTACCTTCTCTCACAACTGTGTCCTGTAAAGACAGCAGTGTTCTGCGTGGTTACCCGCTGTAACGGCAGAAGCGAGAACTTCTCGTCAGGCACTAAGTCAGCTACAAAACAAGCGCGTATGCCTGTAAGCATCAAGCAAATACTCACAACCACTTCAAATTTGGTTAAAAAAAAAATTAACAGTTGCTTTTAATTAAGAAGTGTTAGTTTTTCCTAGCCCTCAATAAATAGAAAGCGTAAGGCATGTGGAATCCAAATTCTTTAATGGAGCTGAAGCTAGAAAGCACCGCCTGGCGTCTGCCCCGCGTCTTCCCCC